ACTAACTCAAACGCTGTTTACAAAAAAGGAATTAAAAGAAAAAACAACGATGTCGGACGATTTTAACTCTGTACTTCCGGCTACGTCGCCCGTGACCTTTTGAACGTAATTACGTATTACGTGACGTTACAAACACGCCTCTCAGAATAGAGCAAAGCTAGCATTTGTCCTTAGAAAAGTTACATTTTTGGAATAAGTTTTGAAATAACCGATCGTTTCGCATGATAAGACCCTTATTCATCGTCTGGTGTCGTTTAAAGACATTTGAAGCTGCATCTGAAACTGTTATTAACTGTCGTTTGGACCTTGGACCGTCTGGTTCCCATTGAAGTCCATTATATGGAGAAAAATCCTGGAATGTTTTCATCAAAAACCTTCATTTCTTTTCGACTGAGGAAAGAAAGACGTGGACATCTTGGATGACATGGGGGTGAGTAAATTATCAGCAAAAGTTTTTTCAAAAGTGAACTAATCCTTTATCTGTCCGATTTACACCCCTAGTCTGAACTAACATTTTCATGTAGATTGCATTGTTTTTTTCACCACAAAAATCTTCTTTTTTCAGTGTTCAAAGTGAGGTACACACTGTTCCTCTGAACTGGCAAATAAAAGCCATCAAGGCCCCGGATCATTAATTATTAAATAGAATCTGCTGAAACGCTGTTTCAGGAAATGAGCGGCGCTGTAATCAATGAGAGAGTGCTTTCCTGGCTTTTCCATTTTATTCTATTACTCGTACATCAAAACCCTTTGGATGTAAAGGACCGAGATGAACATGGACGACTGTACTGAGGGTGTTGAAAAACTGGTAAACAAACTTTTTAAAACAATTGCATCATTTGATTTGGCTGTGTCAGGAGAGTAAATGTTGAAATTAAGTGTTATTTTATGCATTTTTGAGAGAAGACCTGTTAATGTTTAATGTTCAGTAATGTTTGACATTTGAAAGAGTTTCTTTTATGTTGAAGTTGTGTATGGTTACCATTGAGCTTATGGTAGGTTAGGTGGATAGCTGTGATATCAATAGTTTGCCTATTTAAACATTTTTGTTTCCCCCTGCCTGGAGGATATGAGGTTCCTCTCCCATAGTTTCATAATATCCAGGGAAAAGCACTGTATTGCTAATGTTTTCCCTGAAAGCTGTGGTGATAACTTAGTTTTTACTTTTACTTTTTCTCGACTTCTAATCTCGTGGCCACAACAAAACTGTGAACCGAACATGTCCACTTCTCAGTCACCATAAAAAAAATAACAAGATTAAAGCTGCGAGCACTTCATTTACAACATGATCCATGTGCCACAGAACTAAACAGATGACGAAAGCGCTGTGACGTCAAAGTCATTAGTAAACATTGCAAGAGGGCTATGGATGAACATGAGTGGTTAAAACGGCTTTGGCCGCTACAATGAAAGAGTTAGACTTGGTTTTTTATCTAGAAGAGTTGTTTGAAGACAGCGCTCGAATCTTTCTTTTGCAAGAAGAATGTTTTTGGTGTTTAAGCGAATGAGGCTTATAGTTGTGATTGGTCGTAGTGTTATCCAATTGAGTACAGTGAGATTTTCAAATGCAGTTGGGTGATTTTCATTGCTCAATGCCAGACCCTTAATCTTTCGGATTTGGGTCTGGATTTTCAGGCTAGATTCATAGAGAGTAATGATTAATGAAACAATGAAATATTTGGAAGAACTGTGATCTCGGTTTGAAACTAAAAAAAAATTGGGGTTCTCAATTTATCCGGACTTGACAGATTCCACAACATGTCAAAATATAATATTTTTTTATTTGGCGTACCAAGAGCCCAAAGCATCCAAGAACGCACTGCACTGCTGATCTGTTCAACCCTGTACAGCGTCACCTGAACCCCGGTTTCACACACTTAAGTCCGAGACTAAAAGACATGTTAGAGTTGTCTGAAAGCAATCAGTCATCACTCTACATGTCTAAGATGTTATTTAAGGGCTTAGTTTAAGATCACAGATCTGTGGTTTTAAACATATAATACAATGATGATGAAGGAGAGATGAACAAATAAACCTTCCTCAAAAGCCTGATGATCATGTTTGATATGCATGATTTTTCTAAAAAATTATGTCTGAATAATCAAGTAAACCTGCTTCAGTCCAGTAATGAAATATTAACAATGTAAAAGTTCATCAGCTAACCAGGTCAGATTTGACACAGAAACACTCGTGAAGCTCAAGCTGAAGGAGGACGTTTATAGGTCTTTTACTTGATAAAAGAGTCTAAACTCTCAATCAGAGACAGAAGGACTGAAGTTTTGATCATTTAGAGGACTCAAAAATGACAGATGTAGGGTTACAGAGCCAACAGACAAACCTTCTCATCACCAAATGAAGCACAAAGGTCAACATTTCTGTTAAGCGCCACACAGGTATCTTCAAGCAGCATGTCTGGGTCACGAGAAATGAAGTTTCTCTGAGGGTTAATCGCTAACATGTGCTCTAAACTAGCACAACCACACATTCCTGGAGAGTTTACAGGGTTAATGCATGAGCATCATGGGTAACCAGTCCCTAGAGGAGTCATCTCACACGTTTACCCTCAAACAAAGCTGCTTCTTTAACATCTCCGCTCAAAGATGAAGGCCGAGCCACAGGAGGTCCTGGTGTGCCTCATTCTCCAGCAAAGAAGAAAACAACAGATGCCACAGCTGAGCGTTTACAGCAACACATTTCAGACACTATAAAGCGTCAAGCATTCAGCGAGTTCACAAACACAGCAACACATGCAAAAAATCCAGAAAAATGTGAGTGTGCTAATAGTGCAACGGCTCCACAAGGGAGGATCAGTGGACATGTGTTCTTCATCTCCGTCTTCGTGAAGTGGGAAGAGTGCGGAAAACAAAGGCTGTTTTGTTCTATCGCCCCAAACAACAAGGATGAACTGCAAGGAAATGTTCAGGAAGCAAATTATGCCACATTTAACATCATACCAAACTTTTGTTTTCGAACCAAAGATATAAATATCACACAAACACATCCATTTAATATCGCAAGGAAATATAATACAATACAGCACACAGAACATGTCGGATGCTGGAAAATAACAAAGCCTTTTCTGTTCACCAAATGCTTTTTAATATTCGCTGTTACTGCAATGCGAGTGAACAAGCGCGCCGTTATTTGTTGCGTAGTGACGTGTGTGTGTGTGTTCAAGTAAGCCAGAAAAGCACAGATCCTGCAATATATCATGAGGATCATGAGTTGTGTATTTGCACTAAATCTGCACAGATTTGTCTTACACAAACTTCCCAGCAAAGAGATTGGACAGCGTTTCCCGCCAAAGTTCATTTTTCCCACATTTGGCGAGTCGAGTGTTAATCTCAATTCCTGAATATTGCGCTCCTGTTTGTCATTGTGCTGAAACTTCACCAATAAATCATCAGAAATATTGCTGACTTGTGCGTCTCTTTACACTCGTCCTAATGCCTGTTAGGTGTCCGTGGATTTGCCTGTATTTGGTGTTAAAAATTAGCCTGGCTAACGCCAGACCAACGCCAGACCACGTATCATTGAGAATGAAATGTGGTCTGGAAACGACATGTTCATTTTCACGTATTTGAAGCGAGTGCCACGAATGTCTATCAAATGCGCCTGTGCGTCTATCAAATGCGCCTGTGCTCCCTCCCCATTCTGTGATTGGTTCCCTATTTCAGGGTATCCAGACTGCCTAGCGGTGTGAATAAAATCGCGCTGCGGCAAGGCAGCATGGGCAAACCCAGGCTAGTTAAAAATGGAAACGTCTTTAGATGGAAAATCGATTTTATAATTGATTCAATGAACACTAATGACTCAAAAATGGAACAAGATTATTTCACAAAAGTGTCAGCCCTGACTTCTATTAACATATTCGATATAAAACTGATTTATCAATTCTTTCGATGTAAATTGCACATAAGTTGGGAATAAATCACTCTAAATCTTGTGTCATCAGCTGAGGTGTGGACTTTGCTATTCTCATACACTCTTAAGATTAAGCTTTCAAAACCTTTTTTTTTTTTTTTTTTTTGCAGTGATCCCATCGACACTGTAAAATACAATCCCAGGACTTTTTTTGGTTTTCAAGGACTGCAATCGGAGATCTCACTTATTAAAGTATAGTAGGCCTATCTTTATTATCTTTCAAATTCAAATAATAGATAAACGAATAAAACAAAATGGTAAAGTGCAGCACATGCAATGACTGTGGTAACTTTAAACAGTGAAAGGATATTATAACAAATATATTTTTTATTCGTTTCAAACTGATTTTTTCTCCCATGAATATGAATATGATTGACCTGAAGAATAAAAACATGGATATTTACGTGGATATTTATGAGCAATATTAAGCTCATAAACATGCAAAATGGCTGCAGCATTAATTTTGTGTCAAAAGATTGTTTTATCAATAAAATCAAGCATTAATTTCACATATGACTTAATAATTAAAGCACTTTTCCAAGCTGGCAACCTTTTCATAGATGTCTGTTTCCTTTTTTTTTTTTTTTTAAGGAAAATATCAAAGATGTGCTGGGTATGTAGGACTTTTGCCAGCTATCTAGTGCTTTGTTTAATGGAGATGTTAAATTTTCTAACAAAATGCTGCTTGCTTGTTACCAATCCAATACATCCTCCTCTTTTTTTATCTTTTTACTTAACAGTCAGACATACAGCGATATGTCTGTTTTCAAGGGTTTTCCAGGACTTTAAATTCAAAAAGCCAAATTCAAGCACTTTGTACAAATCCTACAGTTTAGAATCTGTTTCGATTCTTTAGGTTGCACAAAATAACCATTTTAATAATCTGAAAGAGATTATTTTCCAAATAATGAGTGAATATCAACACTGTGAATCACATGTCTGAATGCAGTGTGTGATGAATTACAGTTGAGTCAGTGAATAATCATATATACGACGACCATGTCAATGAAACCGCAGTTGGCGTGAGCATCACTCGGCTCAGCACACTCAGACGAAGGGTGAAACCGCGTACGTACCGAGTTTCTCCACGAGTTTGAGCATCACCCCGCCGATGTGGATCTCCCCGGTGACTCTGAGGGACACGTCCCTGTTGAGGTCCGTCACGTTCATCTTCAGTTCCCAGGTCCCGTCTGCGTAGCAGCCGTCTGGCATCCGGATCCCGTCCAACGCCATCCTTTAAAAACAGTCAAAACGTCACAAACATGAAGATCTGAAGTCTGGGAACTTCAGCAACAAGTGTCCAACCGGTCAACGTAAAGCAAAGCTCTTGCGAGTGAGACACAGATCTCAATAGCTAATGAGATGCCCACCTAGACAACGTTTTTGGACATTATAGAGAGCTAGTGATCTTCTTTAGTGACGAATCGTTCTTATTTGAGCTGGTTCATATGACAAGACAAGTTGTTAGAAAATAAATGTGTCGTGCCATCGTTACTTGATGACGTAAGGTTTATGAACATTAAACCGGACTGTCCGAAAGAACCGGTTCACAGAAATGAATCGAATCACTAACGACAGCACATGACATTTTGAGTTAAATGGTTAGTTCACCCAAAAATGAAAATTCAGTCAATGATTCCTCACACTCATGTTATTTCAAACCCGTAAGACTTGCATTCATCTTCTAAACACAAATGATCTTCTTTTTAAAGAAATATGAGAGCTTTTTGTCACTCCATTGACAGGCCACGCAACTACCACTTTCAAAAACATAATTTACCTCTTTATTTTCAAATATTAATCTCCATGTGTGTTGTGTTGAGGCGAGAACAAATGCGGCTGTGTAAAGGTGCATTGGAGATTCATATTTTTAAATAAAGTCCTAAATTATGTTGTTTTTGCCCCCAAAAAAGCATACATTAAATTGCGGTTAAACCACTGGAGTCACATGGATCACTTTAATGATGGCTTTACTACCTTTGTGGCTTGACAGTGGTAGTTGCGTAGGCTGTCAATGGAGGGACAGAAATCTCTAAGATTTCATTAAAAAGATCTTAATTTGCGTTTAGAAGATGAAGTAAAGTCTTATGTCGTTTGGAATAACATAACGTTAATGGTGAGGAATTAAAGACTGATTTTTTCATTTTTTTGGGTGAACTAACCCTTTAATAACAATGTGTACAGATAATACTTCAATGATAAAATGTCTAAATAAACAATAAATACATTTAATTCTAAGCTCTTTAGGTATGTCAAGTGGATAAGGGTATTCAAATTACTATATGTTAAATTATTATAAAACATTAGATTTACTTTGGAAATGCTTTTGCACTAAGTTAGTGTTTGTCACGTATAAACTGAGCGGAATTGGTATTATTTCTATAAGTCTGTGTGAACTTAATGCAGTAAGTAAAATCATACCAGCCGCCTAATTTAATAAACCACAACAACATATCATACTGGAGATTTTAATTCAGAATTAAACCTAAATATGATATTAAACCTGTAGCTCGTGCGACTAACGGTCAATCTCTGAGCTATGATGACGTCAGCAGCCCCTCTCCAAATGCCAACTAAATAAAGACAGCCAGGTCAATGAGAGAAAACACACAAAAACGACCACGAAAGTTAGTTTAGACGCTTTTTTGGTAGAACACGAGAGTACGTAACACAAAACAAAGTAACACGTAGGGTTTGAGCAGGAAAACGGTGAGATTTGTATCCAGAGTTGTGGAGTAACGTTAGCTACGCCAGACGAATCCTGAGAGGAGTGAAATCATAGCGTTCACTAACCTTCACAAATACGCCGAAACAAATCCACAAAACACCACTTCACTTCCCAGAACTTCAACAGTCTGCGCGTTTTCTTTCCTTCGACCGCGTATTTAATCCTATCATGAGGAACAGTCCCGAAAAAGAGGAAAATCACCAAAGTCCAGCGACGAGCTCCTGGAGTGTTTCACGTTAATGGAGTCCAGCGGCCGTTCTCTCTCTCTCTCTCTCTCTCTCTCTCTCTCTCTCTCTCTCTCTCTCTCTCTCTCTCTCTCTCTCTCACACACACACACACACACACACACTCTCTCTCTCTCTCTCTCTCTCTCTCTCTCTCTCTCTCTCTCTCTCTCTCTCTCTCCTCCAGCCCGCCCTCGAATAACGTCACTCACTCGCTCGCCATTCACTTCTACATGATAAATAACATATGGATATTAATTATTAACATAGCGTCAGTTTTTATTAATAATAATTTAATTAAAAATTGACAAAACCATTTGTTTATTTTTCTTTGAGACTGTTTTAAAATGTGACTAAAGCTAAATTTGGACAAATTTTGGTTATTATGAACAAACGTTCTTCCAGTAACGTTAGACGCCCATAGAATAATGTTCTCAAAACGATAACATAAAAATAGTATTTCTATAGGCTTTTTATTATTTCTGTTAAATAAAATCATCTTTAAGAAATAATAATAATAAAAAAAATGCATGAAAGTGGAAACCTGAGAGATCTTGTTCCCCAGTCATCATTCGCTTTCTCACAGTCTTCAGGTCACTTTTCTTTGAAAGCCTGACCTATTATCCGTTCTCAATGGGTTAATTGTGTTACGATTGCGATCACGCTGATAATGAACAGTAAACAGCCTAATAAAATACACAATTGTCGAATTAGTGATTTACAGCTTTTCTATGGGAGTGAATCCAGGAGTAAACAGGCCATCTGGAATATTATTACTGGAGTAGAAACTGCCTTATATGGGAATAAAATGTGATTATAGATACTACTATAACTGCTTTATGTAAAGATTTACACTCTATCTATCTATCTATCTATCTATCTATCTATCTATCTATCTATCTATCTATCTATCTATCTATCTATATAATCTATCTATCTATCTATCTATCTATCTATCTATCTATCTATCTATCTCATCTATCTATCTATCTATCTATCTATCTATCTATCTATCTATCTATCTATCTATCTATCTATCTATCTATCTATCTATCTGTCTATATGTCTGTCTATCTGTCTATCTATCTGTCTATCTCTCTATCTATCTGTCTATCTCTCTATCATCTATCTATCTATCTGTCTGTTTGAATTCTGTTTGATTCAGATTTGTTAGATCTAAAAGATTTAGTTCTATTGTTTCCCTGCATGAACACAACTGAAATAACTTATGATGGAATAAAGTTGATCTTTTAAGCTAATACTTTTCGAATGTAAAAATAAATGAATATAACCCAATATTTCCAGTGCAGCTCGTGCTTCGAGTCGTTCTTCATGAGGAATGTGTGCCTGAGCCGTAGATCTGCATCAGAAGAATGTATAATGTCCCTCCTCTGTTCTGCCATTGCCTTTTTAGGCTGTGTTTTAATTAGCGTGTAAACAGAGGCAGAGCAGGGAAATGAGGAGTTGTGTGTGTGTGTGTGAGCAGTCAGTGATGAGAAGTTCCTCAGTGTGACTCTGAAACTGTAGAATTATTTCTGTGAAGTGCTGTTATATTGCTCTATAGGATGAGAAGGTTGTGTATCAGCTCTCTGCAGGACCGCCCCACAGCTGGCTCCTCTTAATGTCACATGGTCAATGTCTGGATGTAACAAAGATTGTATCTAAAGGTGTAAAAATAACAATATAGACCCATTTACTCACTCTAAACTCGTGCAAAGTGAAGGCTAATCCACTGTAAAAGGAGTTGCATTGAAACAAGGGTTGCTGGAGAATAATAAGAGCTGCCATCTAGTGGCAAAAAGCTGAAACACTGCACATATGATGAGTACATTTTCAACTCATATATATATATATATATATATACATATAAATACATATGCATGCATGTATATATTTTAGAATTATTTGCGCTTAAATTCTGTGTACATATATATATATATATACAAAATCTATATTATATAAATATTTTATATATGAGTATTTATATATACAAAATAATTATATACAGCACACACAAATATATTATGTAAACAAAGACTTATTTTGGATGCGATTAATCGCAATTAATTTTTGCACAGCCCTAATATATATATATATATATATATATATATATATATATATATATATAATTAGAGCACTGAAAAGATGATATGAACTAATACATAAATAAACTTTGTAGCCAAAAACAGGTAAACTTAAGTTATTTATTTCTGTCTTACATGAGAAACACTCGAGCAAATGATTGCTGGTGCAGAAAACCAAACATGGAGATGTCATCTATATTTATATAAATATTCTGACACAAAAACACAAAATTGCACAGAGGTCAGTGATATAACATGCTACACACAGGTAAACACACACACACACACACACGATTCCCAACCTGTAGGATGTTGATAAGACTTAGTTTTGTTTGTGTATAAACCTGTAAAACAGAAACAGAAAGTGTGTGTAATACATCCACATGTGTGTGTGTGTGTGTGTGTTATCGTTCCTGATTTATGTTGACTTTATATGACCGGCCTCCAATACCCGATGTATGTTATGAATATTGAGGACTCTTTGTTCCTCTTTTGCGAGCAACTTTGGATAAAATCATTTTTCATATTTTGTGATTCTTAGAAAGCAAATAATTGTACCAGCGTTGAACGTCCCAGATTTGATTTCTAAACACAGATATCCAGTGTAACACACGAGTTCACAGGAACACGTTTCTGTCCTTGATGACGTTTATGATGGGATACACAAGACAGAACCGGGCTGGGAAACAGAGGTATAACGGGTACAAAAATAAATAAACACAGATAATGTCAGCCATGACGGTCTCAATCTCATCACACACACCTTCTGCTGTTAAAGTGCAGGTGAACCGACGGATAAACACGTGAGCTTTACGGATATGACAGAACAGTCTTGAGAATGATATCATGTTTTCATGAGCTAGCGTCTACATCTGAACAGTGGTGTTATTTGTGGCACACAGAAACGCTAAAACGGCAGTACGATCTTCCGCAAGACTTGGTAAACCTGCTCACACACACACTTGGAATGATTTGGCTATGAAAACTGTGCCCAGCCCTCCATAATCATTCATAATCACGTCAACACAATAAATAAATAATATAGTTACACACAAACTCAAGTGTCCTTCTGCATAAAAATACAATTAAACAATAAACATTTCCTTCTGCGTGTTATTGCATTTAACAGATATTGATTTCTCAAGTCAAAACAAAAATATCTATAAAACGTAGACATTTAAATAAGTGCCGGACTAAATACAGACCCATGTGCTGCACACACTCTCCGTTCTTTGGACTTGCATTGTGTAAAAAAATACGAGAGTTAGTTGATAACGCGGTTTGCATAGTCCAGCCTGTGTCCGTACGGGAAAGGCTTCGGGAAGAAACTCAGGCACCGAGTGTTGTTTAAAGTGTTCGGGATGGAGCGGATGGGTCAGTCTTGACTGTGAGTGTGTGTGTGTTCTGCCTGGCCGGAGCGCTGGGGCCTGTATATGAAGGTCAGGAGGAACAGGGCCACATCATGGGACGTCCAGTAGGCCGTGTGTGAGGTCACAGCTGACCAATAGCGGCTCTCCACCAAACCCTCCCGAAGCTCATAGTCCATGCGATGCTCCATCTCCACTGGACACACACACACAACAGCAGAAAAGAGTCATGTCTACGTGAACGATCCTTCAATCGCCGGTCAAGATGACCCAAAGCATGGAGATTATACTTGTTCAGAAAGATTCTTATTTCATTCTCATTATATATATATATATATATATATAAATAAATGTAATTTTTTTTGGGAGATTTTTTTTCTTTTGTCTAGATAGCTCCTTGTATTTCATTTTGATAATATTTTTAATGCATTTTTTTTGGGAGATTTTTAATTTTATTTTTTGTCCAGAAAGCTTATATTTCATTTTAATAATATTTTCCTATTTTTTTATGTAATTTTTTGAGATATTTTTATTTATTTGTTTTGTACAGAAAACGTCTTATATTTAATTTTGATAATATTTTTTAATGCAATTGTTTTGGGAGATTTTTTTTTTTTTTCATTTTGATAATATTCTAGATATTCTAATATTCTATTTATTTTAATATAATTTTTTGGGAGATTTTTTTTTTTTTTTTGTCCAGAAAGCTTATATTTCATTTTGATAAAATTCTTTCTATTTTTAAATGTAATTTTCTTTGAGATTTATTTATTTTTGTCCAGACGGCTTCTTATATTTAATTTTGATAATATTCTTTCTATTTTTTTATGAATTTTTTGGGAGATTTTTTTTTTTTGTCCAGAAATCTTATATTTCATTTTGATAATATTTTTTCTATTTTTAAATGTAATTTTCTGGGAGATTTAATTATTTATTTTTTCTTTTTGATAATATGTTTAATGCATTTTTTGGGAGATTTTTATTTTATTTTATTTTGTTTACCTTTAAATTATTAGACTTAATAAATAAATAGTTATTTGAGTACATTATTCACATTCTCTCAACTTAAAATCAAAACAACTCACAATCTCATGCCTAACCCTATTCATTCAGCAGTAAATATCTCACATTGGGTGTGTTTGCCGACCTCTTGTGGGAAAAAAATTATATATCTTGATATTTCACAATAAAAAATGTTTTTATGTTTAATGTTTTAAAAAATGTCACAAGAGGAAAAATGTTATTTTTTGTGTTTTTACCATTTTTATTTATATTATTAATTTAGAGTTTTGAATATATATATATATACACACACACACACACACATACACTTCACAAAAGTTTTGAATAATTAAGATGTTATATATATATTTTTAAAGACTATCTTCTGTTCACCAAGGCTGCATTTATTTGATCATAAATACAGTAAAAACAGTGAAATATAATTACAAATTTAATATGATGTGTTCTCTATGTGAATATATACTAAAGTGTAATGTATTCCTGTGATCAAAGCTGAATTTCCAGCATCATTACTCCAGTGTTCAGGGTCACATGATCAAAAATAACAACAGCATTTGTTTGAAATCTAAATTATAAATGCCATCACTGTCTCTTGAATGTGTTTCACACCATAGCTGGATCCATCAGCTCACCGTCACATTAACACACACCGTTGGCTTTACACACCTGCTGTGTCGAATACAGAGGAGGATGGAGATATGGCTGAAAAGGAGAAAGTGCTTTGGCTGTCCTCACTGTCACACATCCCAGAATCCCCGGCTGACGGCAGGCTGGGCGAGCGAGAGAAGCGAGAGAAGAGGATCCCGCCGATGCCCTTGCCGATGCTCGCCGCTCCTGCACACACACACACACACACCAGACGCACAGGTTAGCAGACGACACAGTCACAGTCTTACTCAATGTTTTCCACTCTAAAATTCATCATAATTCACAGCATCTCTCTTTTTTCTTCTTCTGCTGCCTATCAAGTCCCCATGAAATCAAAATTGACTTTTGAAATTGCAGTATTTATAATAAATGATTTATCTGTCCAACAAATTTATGTTCTTGGTTCTTGGTCGTTCGGATCTGATGAAGGACCTGCGCCTGGACATGACGACGACGCAGTTCTGAAGTGTCAACTGGTAACTAATGATCATTGTGACGTTAGTAACTTTATTCTAGAGCTGCTGTAATCTCCTGTTCTCACTGTAAAACTGCTTTGAAACAATTCATATAGTTAAAAGCGCTGTATAAATGAAGGTGACTTGACATGTACCCAGTATGCTGGCCTTGCCCAGGTTGGTGATGGACTCCCCGTAGTGTCGACTGGCCAGGACAGGTGAGGTGCTGGGACTGTTCTCGGTGTCGTTACTGACGTTTATATACGTGGGTCTGATCTCATCATATGGACAGGAGTTGATGGTGTTACACCTTCAAAACAACATCAAAATCAACATTAAAAATCATATCAGAAAATCCCAAGACACAGAATTATTGCGAATGTAACCTTTAAACCAGTGATTCTCAACCAGGGGTATGGGGCAAACTTCCAAACATATTTACATTAATAATAAAATTATATACACTACTGGTCAAAAGAGTGTGAGTGTCTTCTGCTCAGATTAATTTTAATCAAAAGAAAAAAATTACCATTTTAAATAATTGAATGCGTGTAATTAATTCCTGTGATCAATCTGAATTTCCAGCGTCATTACTCCAGTCTTCAGAGTCACATGATCCTTCAGAAATCACTCTAATATGATGATTTTCAGCAGGGAGGTGTTAAATTGATCAAAAATAACAGAAAAGATTTCCATTTCAAATACTTGCTGTTCTTTTGTACTTCCTATTCAACAGAAGAAAATGTAAAAATAAAAAACAAAAATACAGCAAAAACCGTTTTCAAGAACCATTATTAATGATTGATCATCAGAAATAACCAATAAAAAATGATCATAAATCAGATCCTCATATTAGAGTGATTTCTGGAGGATCATGTGACTCTGAAGACTGGAATAATGATGCTGGAAATTCAGCTTTGATCACAGGAATACATTACATTTAACATAGAAAAGTTATTTTAAACTGCAATAATATTTCAAAGCATTTCTGTTTTTTAATGTATCTTTGATCAAATAAATTGATGAGCATAAGAAATATATAAGAAAATCTTAATTAGTCCAAACATTTGACCAGTAATCTAAAATGGTAAAAAAAAAAAAACACACACACAAAAAAACAAACAAAAATCAACTTTTTTTAAGCACATTTTTTAAACATTCTGAAATCATAAGCTGAATAGTGGTTACTTAATTTAATACACCAACACTTAAAGTGTTCCAACCAGTGTTGTAGTCGAGACCACCTCACTCGAGTCCGAGTTGACACCGAGACCAGAGAGAGTCGAGTCCGAGTCAAGGCCGAGTCCATAGAGAGTCGAGTCCGAGTCAAGGCCGAGTCCATAGAGAGTCGAGTCCGAGTCCATAGAGAGTCGAGTCCGAGTCAAGGCCGAGTCCATAGAGAGTCGAGTCCGAGTCAAGACCGAGTCCATAGAGAGTCGAGTCCGAGTCAAGAACGAGTCCATAGAGAGTCGAGTCCGAGTCAAGGCCGAGTCCATAGAGAGTCGAGTCCGAGTCAAGGCCGAGTCCATAGAGAGTCGAGTCCGAGTCAAGACCGAGTCCATAGAGAGTCGAGTCCGAGTCAAGGCCGAGTCCATAGAGAGTCGAGTCCGAGTCAAGACCGAGTCCATAGAGAGTCGAGTCCGAGTCAAGGCCGAGTCCATAGAGAGTCGAGTCCGAGTCAAGACCGAGTCCATAGAGAGTCGAGTCCGAGTCAAGGCCGAGTCCATAGAGAGTCGAGTCCGAGTCAAGGCCGAGTCCATAGAGAGTCGAGTCCGAGTCAAGAACGAGTCCATAGAGAGTCGAGTCCGAGTCAAGGCCGAGTCCATAGAGAGTCGAGTCCGAGACCAGAGAGAGTCAAGAACGAGTCCATAGAGAGTCGAGTCCGAGTCAAGACCGAGTCCATAGAGAGTCGAGTCCGAGTCAAGACCGAGTCCATAGAGAGTCGAGTCCGAGTCAAGACCGAGTCCATAGAGAGTCGAGTCCGAGTCAAGGCCGAGTCCATAGAGAGTCGAGTCCGAGTCAAGGCCGAGTCCATAGAGAGTCGAGTCCGAGTCAAGGCCGAGTCCATAGAGAGTCGAGTCCGAGTCCATAGAGAGTCGAGTCCGAGTCAAGGCCGAGTCCATAGAGAGTCGAGTCCGAGTCAAGGCCGAGTCCATAGAGAGTCGAGTCCGAGTCAAGACCGAGTCCATAGAGAGTCGAGTCCGAGTCAAGGCCGAGTCCATAGAGAGTCGAGTCCGAGTCAAGGCCGAGTCCATAGAGAGTCGAGTCCGAGTCAAGACCGAGTCCATAGAGAGTCGAGTCCGAGTCAAGACCGAGTCCATAGAGAGTCGAGTCCGAGTCAAGGCCGAGTCCACAGAGAGTCGAGTCCGAGTCAAGACCGAGTCCATAGAGAGTCGAGTCCGAGTCAAGGCCGAGTCCATAGAGAGTCGAGTCCGAGTCAAGACCGAGTCCATAGAGAGTCGAGTCCGAGTCAAGGCCGAGTCCATAGAGAGTCGAGTCCAAGTCAAGGCCGAGTCCATAGAGAGTCGAGTCCGAGTCAAGAACGAGTCCATAGAGAGTCGAGTCCGAGTCAAGGCCGAGTCCATAGAGAGTCGAGTCCGAGACCAGAGAGAGTCAAGAACGAGTCCATAGAGAGTCGAGTCCGAGTCAAGACCGAGTCCATAGAGAGTCGAGTCCGAGTCAAGACCGAGTCCATAGAGAGTCGAGTCCGAGTCAAGACCGAGTCCATAGAGAGTCGAGTCCGAGTCAAGGCCGAGACCAGAGAGAGTCGAGTCCGAGTCAAGGCCGAGTCCATAGAGAGTCGAGTCCGAGTCAAGGCCGAGTCCATAGAGAGTCGAGTCCGAGTCAAGGCCGAGTCCATAGAGAGTCGAGTCCGAGTCAAGGCCGAGTCCATAGAGAGTCGAGTCCGAGTCAAGACCGAGTCCATAGAGAGTCGAGTCCGAGTCAAGACCGAGTCCATAGAGAGTCGAGTCCGAGTCAAGACCGAGTCCATAGAGAGTCGAGTCCGAGTCAAGACCGAGTCCATAGAGAGTCGAGTCCGAGACCAGAGAGAGTCGAGTCCGAGTCGAAATCGAGACCAGTGAGGGTTGATTACCTAATTTACTTTTATTTACTTAGAGAAATCCTTTTTTTTTAACTGAATTTACTTAAGAGTTTAAAAAATATGATCAGTTTAGGGTAAAAAGGCCACATAGTAGGAGGTGTTAAAAGTAATTTTATTATAATTTGTCATGCGCAGTTGCGCACTAGAAAATCACCAATCACTGGGCGTGTCAATCAATTTAAAGAAATATTTTATTAACATACATTAATAATCATGAAAAATATTTTTAATTGAACTCGAGTGGACTCGGGAATAATTCCGAGTCCTAAAAAAAAAAATGTTCGAGTACGAGACAATTCCGAGTCCAAATGCACACGAGTCCATGACAAGACCAAGACCATTAAAATATGGTCTCGAGACCGAGTCCGAGACGAGTCCGAGTCTCGAGTACTACAACACTGGTTCCAACAAAGTTAAATAAATATGGGGCTCAAATTTAGTGTTGGACAACGAGAAAAAAAGATTGAGAATGACTGCTTTAAGCAATTCTACAGGAAGGACAAATAAAAAAAAAAGAGGAAATGAAATGAAACATTTATGCAAAAGCATTCAAACTACACTATACTTGAACAATAACAAATGAAGACTCACCAGTGTATTTGGACAGGAGCGATGTTGCTATAGTGCTTTAAAACAAGAGGCTCCAGTCGATAGGCCTGCAATACAGTGAAACGATTATTACAAAAATGCCAAACTCTCTCACGTGTTTTTTAGGCCAAAACATTATTAGGCAAACATCTCCTCACTATCCGCTAGCTGCTGTTCCCTGAACACACGGTAAAGAAACTCAATCTCCACAAACAAACTGGGCCAACCCACTGCTCCAGCCAATCACCAACAAGAATGATTTTGGGCGTGTGAAGGAGAGGGAAGACTCTTTAAGTTTGATATGGCCGACACACGACCAAAGAGACGACGTTCCGATGAACAGAGTGCAAAAAATGCAAAGAAAAGGACAAGGAACGCATGAAGTCCCACATTTACACTGGAAAGGCCTTTGAAAGGTGGCGAGATCTCAGAAGAGATCCAGTCCGACATCAGGAGCTCCGTTTCTGCTGGACACAGTCAATCCAGTTTGGGTTTTCTAAACGGATGTTCATGACATCATTCCCTACTTTTACCCACAATCCTCTCTGATTTTGAGTGTAAATCCGATGTACACTCGCTGAAGCATTATTTCCCAGAATCCAATGCATAGAGGACTGAGCGTGCGTGAAAGTGCAGGAGCGAGCGAGTTTAAATCAGAAATTACTTTTTTTTTAATCATTAATTGAATAAAACATTAAAATATTGAGAAAATATCATATAGATGAATGTTAAAATTAAAATGAACTGATATCAATAGGCTCAATTATATAGGTATACATATTTTTTTGTAAGCAATAAGGTACGAGAGGCTGTGCTGTATCGTGAATAAGTAACAGCTGAAGGGCGTTGTTAGGCATTTATTAGGCGTATTAGGCATTTATTAGGGCGTATTAGGCATTATCTAATTAAATATGTGTGAATTTTAGCCTATTAGATAAAGCCAGGTTTAAAATAATATTTTTTCAATTGTGTTCACACACAGTAATAGATGGGGGAAAAATAGATATTTATGGATATCTACTTTTGTTATCCTGTTATCAGATAGCCTTGAATAGATTTTCGCCATGTTTTCAGAAAAACAATGTTATATAAATCAAGCTAGGAATAATATATTTACAAATCCATCTGTAATAGTCTTCATAATAAAACTAGGTAAAAGACTGGACAGTTTGGTGTATTAGGTTTGGTATATAGGTGGTTACTTGATTTAATACACCAACACTTAAAGTGTTACAACAAAGTTAAATAAATACGGGGCTCGAATTTAGTGTTGGACAACGAGAAAATTTGGTATATATCATATGATCATATGTATATATCATATATTTGGTATTTATCATATGATCATTTTTATCAAGCTTGTATAATTAAGTTCAGTAATTTCACTTAAATGGCACTGAAGACTACCTATTAATTGTCATTTAAGTGAAATTACTGAAATCCTTTCAATTTTTTCTTGTCTGACTCACCTGAATGAAAGTAATTATTCATGATGGGGCTAGCCTGTTCACGCCCATTCGCATATTGCCTTGGCAAACAAAAAAAAGTTTTTCACAATATAACCCAATTCACGGTTTTATGTGAACGATTAGGAGGATGATTTTCAGGTCATTGTGAAGAAAAACCCTAGGCAACAACATCCATTAGTCTAAAGTCTTGTGGACACATATTTAGTACGTGTTTTGTGGCCGTATTTCAGAAACTTTCATTTTTAGTTTTTACCAATAACCACGCATAAACAATATTCTCTCAAAAATACAAACATGTACATACATGCTGCTCATATATTATGGTAGCCCTGTTTCTGCAAAATATAGTTTAATTTGACCTGTGCCATTAATATGTTTATAAGCAGCTGAAAGAAACACAGATGTCAGGGGATGTCAGAACATCTCAAGGACCCCAACTACACCTTGGTCCCCAGAGGGTAGTGTTGTCACGGTACCAAAATTTCAGTATTCGGTACCAATACCAGTTAAAATTCACCAGTTAAATTTCTCGGTACCAATTTCGGTACCAAAGCTTAGTTTAAATTGACATATATTTAAGTGTTTATCACGGTTACAAGTATGGAAACTGTACATTTGTATTATAAACACTTTAGAAAAAGATTAGATAAAATGACCTAAAATAAACAATAGGATACACGAACACATTTTTAAAGTTGTTTGTAAAGTTTTAATCCATTATTTATTTAATGCACAATGAATTAAGTGAACAAACATGAACAATCAGGTGTTTGTAATAAATAACATTTTCAAACATTAATTAATGTTGTAAAAATATATTGTTCACTCAATGTGTTGATAAGTAATGTTGATGAATGGTATCTTTGTAGCATTACCATAAAACATGTTTTATTTGACTTGACTGTCCTTTTATTTCATCTAAAACTGCATTCATATTTAATTTTAAAAAGGCTTTTTAAACCTGCTGAGTTATAAAGGCAAGAATACGCCTAGAACTGGCACTGACATTAAATGACAATACTAATACCAGTACTCTGGTGTCGGGTGGATACTACTGTGCTCATGTACTCGTAAAACTACCCCGAAAGCACTTTAGAGGCCGTTCACATGTCGCGCGTGTTTTTTAATTATATTTTTGCGCGTGCTTATTCTTTCCAAAGCGCTTGCTCTCACGCGGCGTCTGTCGTTGCTATGCAACGCCAACGAGTTTTTATTATGAGCGCGCTTGAATCGCGCCTATATTTGAAATTGCGAATTTGCATGTAATCGGCCTCTTATGGCAACGTGACATTAGCCTAATCCAAAATATTTCCATTTGTGGCTCTTTCCTCCTTTCGTTTCAGAGAGAGAGAGCCATATCAGCGTTATAAAGAGGACGCAACTGTGCACGTTTCAGACATCGCGTCTAGAACAGAACTGGATTAACCTGGTACTCGGTACCTAGAAAAGCTGGTACCGTAACATTTTTTTTTTTTTTAGTACCGACTTGGTACCGAAGTACCGAGTTTGACAACACTACCAGAGGGTTAAACATTTTAGGCTTATTCTCAAATTCATATTGTGTCAGAGGGGCAGGATTATTACGCAATTTTACTCGGACAATTTGACCGGAGAGATTTGGAGACAATGGAACAACCCTGCACCCAACATCACTTAGGCCGTGTGTCCACCAAAGTGTTTTTATCCAGCTGAAAACACTAGACGCTCTGCTGAAGACGCCGTGCTTTGGGCGCTTGAGAGCGTTTTGCCAGCGCAGCGTTTTTTCCGTTGAGACGTTTCGTTGCTATGATACAGAATATCCGCAGCACAGTTTGAATGTTGACAGTTGGTCGGTGTGGTATTAGTCCCGCCCCTCCTCCACTGAAATGTGACAGTGATGAGCGCTGCGTTTTATCCAAAGTTGAACATTTTTCAACTCCCGGCGACCAGTAAAAACGCTGGGCGCTCGGCGCTTCAGCGTGAAAAAAACGCCGTTTAAAAAACGCGGCGCTCCCATTGAAAACAATTGAAAACATACGCCAGGCGCGCGGAAAAACGCTTTGGTGGACACACGGCCTTAGAGCACCTTTAACAGTCACAGAGGGAAACGTAGTGTGACCGTCTCACCACAGGGTCTGTCGGGTGGAAGATGTTGAAGAGGCGCCGGCAGATGGACTTGGGCATGATGTGGTCCTGGTCGCCGGTGTTCCCGGGCCGAATCCCTCTCAGCGCCAGGAACACAGCCAGAGGAGAGCCCATGCAGAAGAAGTTCTCCACCTGCAGATTCATTATACAGACAAAACAAAAATTATTCAGACACCAGATATCATTTGATATTTTTACTAGTGTGTGCAGGACACTATAGCTCATTAATGTAAGTGAGGAGAGCAAAATAAAGTAAACTGTGAGATATTACACCCAGATATTCTTCAATCAGTGACTACCGGTAACCTTCATAAACACTTGGGACCAAAACTGAGTCCGACACTTTGCCCTGATCGTGTGTTTTTTTCTGTATTTGCTAATGCTCTTTTTACACACACTCTGAACAACATGAAGCATTGCTCGGTCACTGGTGGAGCTAAACTGGTATTATCTAATTGTGTATTAAATTCAACAGCTGACAGATATTCATCATAATTCATGTGAGAGTGTCTAACTGTGAATTATGTCTAAATTCTATTCATATTTATCACCATTTTCTAAACTATAGCATTAGTTTTTATAAACTATAAACAGTGTCTGAATTAAGGATGCACCGAATATTCGGCCACCGAAAATTTTCGGCCGAAAATGGCCCAAAAGTGCATTTTCGGTTTTCGGCCGAAAGACTTTTATCACCGAAACAATACGGCCGAAATGTTGTGATGACGCAAACCTAACCGCGACCTGCACGTGCTTGTCTGAAGCAACATGTTTGCGGTGCGGACGTATTTCAGTGAATCTGAACCCGCGAGGAGACGGAAGCCTTGTTTATCCAGCTATATCTGCTCTAAACAATGCGCGCCGCCATGACAACGACTCCGGATGCGAGCGGGTCAAGTATAAACTGTGGAGACTCGCGCTGCGGAGGCAGGCGAAAGTATGCGCAAGTCTCCTCAGACAGCGCGCGCACCGCTCCAAAACGGTCCGAGGCGTTTTACTGGACCCGCTCTCCGTTGTACTATTCCTTGAAACGACAGGGGACGACTCAAGTAACTGTCCTCTAACCATTAGGAATCGGTGAGAAGAAGAAAGATAAACACATGACAATGTTTATTTTTAGTATACCACCACCAATACAAAAATAATCATGTAAAACCCAGTAAACCCTGAGATTATTACTTGTGTGACATTACAAAAAAAATATATATGGGAACATGTATGTATAGAACTAAATGCTCTCTTAAATATTTTCTACATTCACTAAACATGTTTTGTTAAGTTTCATGTACATTTGTATTAATCATGGACCTTTGTTCATTTAAAAAGGCTTTTTATGCTATTGTATGCTACATTTTTAAAATGTAAGAAACTAATTTAGACGTGCAAAGGGTGCTGGTGTGATGAGAAGAAGTTTGCACTCGGCTTTGTTTTTGAGAGAACATTTAATTTTAAAACCTTTCTGCAGGCCATTAGATTATTATTTAATGTACACATGAGTGGGGTCAAAAACATTTTAGTTTGAATTTTATTTTATACTGTGCATTGTGCTAAATAAATATTCGCATAATTTGTAATTAATTTATTTATATTAATTTATGCAATTGCAATGCCTTGATTTTAGTAACGTTTGTACACAGTCATAGCCATAAATGCAATGATACTGATAATTGGCATAATTTCTTTCGGTGTTTCGGTTTTTCGGCCTTGGTTTCCTCTTTTTCGGTTTTCGGTTTCGGCCAAGAATTTTCATTTCGGTGCATCCCTACTTAAAACTCATCTTTGATAACCAAAATGACATATTTACACACTTTTTCCTTGAATTTTTAGTTTCTACTCAGTGGTCTGGGGTTGATATGCTCACACAAAAATCGCTACAAAAGATGCTTTCCAACAGGTTTTTTTTCGTAACTAGGGATGTAAATTTCTGCCAAAAATGGCATTCGAAAATCGAGGAGCAAAAGTCGATTATCGTTCGAAAAAAAAAAAAAAAGAAAAAAAAAACGCACGCTAACAATGACAGAAAGGGAGGCCAAAGGTCAATTTAATCTTTAGTGATTTGTCATGAAACTGTTTATTAATTGAACAAGTAACATGTTTTCGTCATTTTTTTTAGATAACGGTAGTTAAAAACACAATAAGCACGACCGTCCGTTTTTGCATCACCAAACCAGACGCTCGTTAAATAAATAAAAAATAATGTCATATGTCATAATGATTTTATGTGAACCTGCCTTGTAACTGCAATAGCCCACTTTTTAAACAAATTAGTTTCAATCAAAACTATTTGTGTGATGCCACTGCGCAATACACACATTACCACGGGATAGCGGGTGTTCATTTCATAAACTGTGGACAATGGTAGCTTATTTAATGTTGCCTATAAATTAATGTATATGTCCAAAAAACGGATAATGTCATCATACTTGTCGCGTAATAATCTGTTTGGTTGTAAAATGTATTACCTGAATGAAATTAACTCGAATATCTCGTCCTGCGAAATCATTCATTCACAGACAGCATACGAAGAAGACGTTCAACTAGATCTTAATCGCTTGTTGGAAAACCTGTTGGAAAGCATCTTTTGCAGCAACTTTTGTGTGCACATATCAGTGAACACTCCTGACCACTTTGTGAGTTTCAGGTCTTTGTAAACTTAATGCGTTTAAGGAAGGATTGTTCCAGTGCACCTATGCAACCACTGTGGAGGCGGATGCGTGTAACCACAGAAACTGAAATTTCTCAGGACAGCAGCATGTGTCCAAATTTTATTTTATTAAAAACAGGGCTTTAAGTGTAAAATACCAAACTTGTCATTTAATGCTGAGAGATCACTGCAGACAAAACATCTCCCTGCACCGCAGTTAATGAGACAAGCCACTGAAATAAAAGCAAGACATCACATGTCTTCTGTATGGTAGAAATGCATCACCCAGTAGAGATTCTGCTGTATCATTTATACCATGCTTCATATATTAATGTGGCAATCAGTGGGCAGGACCTACATGGAGTGATGGGAAAATATAGAGCGGGGCATTTCTCAAACAATGAAGGACTTATTATTAAGTAGTTTTGGTGAGAACAACATGATTCTGAGTTTATTTTTTGCAGTTGCTAAGCAATGTCACAACTTACTGCAGTGATATAGAACTGAAGTGATGTGCAGTCTAGGGTGAATGTGCACAACGTGCCCACCCTGACACCACACCCATTAGTGCTTGTTGAAGCACATTTGGCACTGGAGTTCAAAGTCATGGGCATTAGTATGGAGTATGTACTCCTTAAGAGCTTAAACTTTTCTGGAAAAGCTTTCCTTGAGTTGTTCCAACGTGGATGCAGGGATTTGCTTCCATTCAGACACAAGATGCATCATTGAACAGGCGTGCCATTGGAGAGCAATCAAGTTCATTTAAAATAAATACAAATCTTTGATTAATACTACTACTAATAAATGTATTATTCTTTATAAAAATGTTTTAAAGCCGAAAACGATAATCATTCTCTGACCACTGTTTTGTTTGTGGAAACCATGAAAATGTGACAACTGATCTGTTGCAGGAGGGATGGAAAAAGACATAATAAGCCTAAGCCTAATAAGATGTGAAACCCAAATGTCTGGAGAGATTGTGGGTGGTCCTATTTTCTACTGTTGTCAGCTTACACAGCACAAAGCAGTCGAAATACCAGAATGCCTTGCATTTCATTGGTGTCAGTGCTGTGTGGATAAGACTATTTTTGACTGTTATTTTAATGACCCAAGTAATTTATTCAAAGAAAGATTATTAACCACAACTAGGGCTGCAACAAACGATTATTTTGATAATCGATTAATCTAACGATTATTAGAGTGATTAATCGACTAATCGTTGATTATGGAAGTCCATACTATGGAAGTCAATGAGACCAGAAACTGTCTTTTTACTGATATTCTTCTAAATATCAGAAAATCGGCTGAATGGATTCGAAAACTTTAAAACTTAACTGTTTAACTCTGGGGGAGTTGTAAAATGAGCCTATTTCCAAAAATAAAAAAAAAAAAAAAAAATTGGAGTATCCCTTTAAAATGACATGGTCATTTTCTATTGTTTTGTGGACTTAACAGACACATGGCAGTCATTGTAAGTCCCCAAGTCCACAAATGCACATGAAGTGTGCCATTTGGGACAAGGTTATAATTGTCTCAGCACATTTAATTAGGCTAAAAAGAACGAATGTTTGCATCAAAATGAATTGCACACTTCAGCTTTAAAGTAGCAATGTAACAGAAGTAGCGTTAGATCTTCCATATTGTGATGTATACATTGATTGTTGATCAGATTTAGAGCTTTGTTGATTGTAAGAAATGGGCGGGGTTAGACATGTGCCGGTATTCGGTAATGCGATAAATCGCGGTAATGAATATGCACGATATTGTTATCGAGGGCTCTTCAAAATACCGTGAAAAATAATAGATTTGAATTTAGACTTTTAGAGCGCGCATTAGCTTATTTTCCATCAACCGCTCAAACACTGCGTGCTGCACAAAACACGCACGCACTCTGATGTAAACAATCCCCACATGTATAAGCACTGTGTGCATGCGGCAGTGCGCACTAGTCTAATGTAAACAATCCTCACATGGAGTAAAAGCATGGCGGAACGCTCCCGACGATTTATCCCCGCAGGGCTGCCAACTCTCACGCATTCAGCTTGAGACTCAAGCTTGAGACTTTCAGACAGGACGCGGAATACGCGCGCGACACGCATGAATGTTTTGTTGCTCCGCCGACCTCGACCACGCCGTGGTTAAAGTTCAAAATAGTTAAACTTCTTATTTTAAAATGGCAAATTGCGTTGTATCTGAAGGGCAACGTTGAACCAAGCGGGCAGCGTCGCGCATTCCGCGTCCTGTCTGAAAGACGATTAACGCATTTGACACTTGTCACACGCTCTCCCACAGAGAAAAATCACAGAGCAAAGAGGACACTGACACCGACAGACTAGACAGAGCAGGTTACTTTTGATATGAAAGTTGTTATTGATAAATCAGCTCTTAGGTTCTGATCACAGATCGTTGCTCCTCAGTTCAAGTAAACGGATCATGTTACTTTAGTTTTTATTTAAAGATACAGTACAACTTACCGAAAGGTATATTTACTTGTACATAATAACGATCAATCAGCGTTTT